TGCTGGCTTACAGGTCTACTGTTGAGGTGTGGATGAGGGGTAGGACAAGGAAAAGTTAAGACACTAGGAAATTGGCTGTTCTTAATGAGATTCAGTCATTTTTCTTGAATAAATGACCCTCAGGTTGTCTTTGGTTAATTTTCAGAATTCTGAAAAAGTTGATTCGGAAAATTCTGCCAGTGTTTTTATCGCTTTTATGGAGGAGAAAATTTTCAGAGTCTTTACTCTGCCATTTCACTGATGTACACTGCCCTTCTGCTGTTACCAAGCAACCGAGCACAGAATTGACTTACATCATTATGATAAATTAATATTTATCTAATATATATTAGTTCCCTAACTAGAAATTTCAAAAAAACTTGTATCCTTCATCAAGGGTTTGACTGTTTCCCCAATACTTCCCAACTATTCTGGAAAGATTGCTTGTAATATAACTGAATTGTGATTTTTAAAAAAAAAACTGTATACTGAAATGTGTTGATATTTGAAGATCTCATGAAAAGAGTTCTTCCAAATGAGCAATACATGATGTTACAAAATCATGTATGGGTAAAAATGAATGTGAAACATAATATAGACCATTGGATTTTTTTGTAACTAGTTGATAGGCTTTCAGATTCCACATTGCAACCACTTCTCTGTACAGTATCAGAGAAGAAATCTGCAATATATGGAAAGACCATTAAAATACTCCTTCCTTTTCCAAGTATATATCTGTATGAGGACAGATTTTCTTCATATATTTCAACCAAAACAATGTATTGTATCCAATGAATGTAGAAGCAAAAAAAAAAAAAAAAAAAAAGACCAGCTGTCTTTTATTAAGCCAGATATTAAGTGTGTGAAAACATGTAAAGCAATGCCACTCTTGTGAAATTTTACTTTGTTTCAGTAAAAATATGGGTATTTTCATAAATACATGTTATTTATACTAACATGGAATGGGTTTATTTTTGTTATTTTTTAAAAAATGTTATTTTAGAGAAAGAGAGGGTGCAAGTAAGGGAGAAGGGCAGAGGCAGAGAGAGAGAGAGAGAGAGAGAGAGAGAATCCCAAGCAGGCTCCACACTCAGCACAGAACCTGATATGGGGCTCAATTCTGTGACCCTGGGATCATGACCAGAGCCGAAATTAAGAGTTGGATGCTCAATCGACTGAGCCACCCAGAAGCCCCTATTTTTGTTATTTTTTAAATGAATACATGTTTCAACATTTCTCAGTTTTAATTTTAATATGGTAAATAGTGATAGATATATAACCCCCATAAACAAACATTCTTGGCAGACTTCCGTTGTTTTTGAGAGTGTAAAGGGGTCCTGCCGCCAAAATATTTAAGAACCTCTGGCCTAGACCAACCCAGGGAGCTCAAGCCCAGAGGAAGCCCCATCCACTTAAGGTCACATGTACCTCTTTTTCTTTAAATGGAAACGATTAATTTAGAAAGAACGTAGAGTATTCCAGCAAGACTTTCATAGCAAGTGGAAGGAATGTGGCTGCTTCCTTCAGCCAAAAGGAAAGACAGGCAGGCAGGGAACGCAATTAATTGTTCAGGAAATTTCTTCCGGGATGCTTTTGAATTCCTCTCAAGTCACTGTGGGGCACACAGGTCACTCTGCCAGCATCTTGCAAAGATTCTAAAGCCCATCCCCACTCACACCATTTCAGCTGCCGTCACTGACATCCCCTCTTGGACCTTCTTTGCTCTTCCAGTCTCCACCGTACAACTTAGTGCAGAAGTGACTGACAAGTTTCTCGCAGCAATTGGGATTGTTTCCCCCATCGGTTTTTAAAAAATGTTTATTTATTTATGCTGGGGGGGGTGCAGAGAGAGAAAGAGAGGGAGAGAAAGAGAATCCCACGCAGGCTCCACAGTCAACATAAAGCCCGACAGGATGCTAGATCTCAGGAACCTGGAGATCATGACCTGAATTGAAATCAAGAGTTGGATGCTTAACTGACTGAGCCGCCCACGTGTTCCTCTTTTTTCTGCTTTCTTCCCTGGTCCTTTGACCTCTCTACCTTACTTTCCTCTCTTCCTTCCTGTTTTATTTTGTTTTGTTTTGTTTTTTCACGCAAGTCCTGGTACGTTCAGGGCAGGTAATTTCTCTGGCAGAGGGATCCTGGTCTGGATAAATCAGGAAATCCACCCAATTACTTAGGATTTTTGAGTAGCCCATGGTACTGTTTTATGCTCCTTGTAAATTCCTAGCTGAGGCCAGGCCTCCCAGAACTACTGGAAAAGAGGCATGCGGATAGTGGTGTGGGCCATGCAAAGCTCAAGAAAAGGCCCCTTTCTCTTCCTTCAGCCTTAATTCAGCTGAAATGAAGAGACTCAAGCAGAAGTAAAGAGGAGGAGGAGGAGGATGTCTCCAAGGGCAGGCCGAGGACAATTTGTAGCAGAATGTATTTGGGATCTTTAAAAAGAATTTTTTTAATGTGTATTTACTTTAAGCGAGAGCAAGCGAGGGGCGGCTGGGTGGCTCAGTCAGTTGGGCGTCTGACTTTGGCTCAGGTCATGATCTCACGGTTCGTGGGTTCGAGCCCTGTGTCGGGCTCTGTGCTGACAGCTCAGAGCCTGGAGCCTGTTTCAGATTCTGTGTCTCCCTCTCTCTCTGACCCTCCCCTGCTCACGCTGTCTCTCTCTCTCTCTGTCTCATTAAAAACGTTAAAAAATTAAAAAAAAAAAAAGGAAGAAGAGAGAGCAAGTGAGCAGGGTAGGGTAGAGAGAGAGGGAGACACAGACTCAAAGGCAGGCTCCAGGCTCTGAGCTGTCAGCACAGAGCCCGACGTGGGGCTCGAACTCACAAGCCCTGAGATCATGACCTGAGCCGAAGTTGGACACTCAACCGACTGAGCCACCCAGGCGCCCCTGCATTTGCGATCCTTAAAAGCAGATTCTCAGGACTTTTACCCTCAGATTCTGATTCAAGAATTATAAATAGAGTTTCCTGGTCATTCTTCTGCACAGTTTGTGAGAACCAGAGGTAATCTGACCTTAGCACTTTCACATCCTTTTTTTTAAATTGAGTTATATTTAACATACAACATTGTGTATGTTTTAAGGTGTACTGCATATTGATTTGATGCATTTATATTACAATACAAGTGCCACGCAGCAGTAGCTAATACTTCTATCACATTACATACTTATCATTTTTGCACTTTTGTATTCTTTTTTCAAAAAAATTTTTAATGCTTGTTTATGTTGAGAGAGACAGAGCATGAGTAGGGGAGGGGCAGGGAGGGAGGGAGACAAAGAATCCGAGGCAGGCTCCAGGCTCTGAGCCATTAGCACAGAGCCTGACACAGGGCTTGAACCCATGAGCGAGATCATGACCTGAGGCAAAGTCGGACGCACAACTGACTGAGCCACCCAGGCTCCCCTTTATATTCATTTTTTAAGTTTATTTATTTATTTTGAGAGAGAGGGAGAGGGAGAGAGAGAGAATTCCAAGCAGGTTCCTCACTGTCAGTGTGGAGCCTTAACTCATGAACTGGTGAGATCATGACCTGAGCCAAAATCAAGAGTTGGACATGTAGACGGCTGAGACACCCAGGAGCCCCAGAGCTTCTACATTCTTCTAGCATATCCATAACATAAAGTTTCTGCTTTACAAAGCCCATTCACATTGATTTTCTCACTTGACCCTCAGAATGACCTTGTGAAGTAGACAGGAGCAGGAGGTATCGTTGCCTCTAGAAAGTAACCTCAAATTTCAGTCTCCCCATGGAGTTGGCCAAGGCAAATCTGCATATCAGCTGTGGGTCCAGCTTGGCCACCCTCAGTCACACCTGAGTGGCTTTTCCTTGGGAACCAGATTACCAAAAAAAGCCAAGATATTAACAAAATTGGAGGTAGTGTACCGTTTTTGAAAATGAGGCATATGTGAGCACACAACTATTAAGGGCTTATGAGCACATATGAGCTTAGGGAGACAGAGGGGTGCCTTCAGTGAGATGAAAGAGAATAAGAAATCCTGTGTGCCATTGAATGTCTAACACTGACCCTTCTGGGTTAGATGTGTGTGCCCATTTTACACAGATCGGGCAAGAAGTATGTAAACATTGCTTCTAATTCTGAGCCAACCCACAGCTCCTGCCTTCTGAAAATGCTCATTCATTTCTACACCGGAGAATGCAGAGTGAGGCCAGCAATGTTACAGCTACACTGAGATCGAATGAGATCAATGTGTGCAAATTATGAAGCCTGTGTAACACGCTTTTACGGGGACCGCAGAACCTGGAGAAAGGCCCTAGTGGGAGAGGTCATCAAAACCTGCTGAGTCCAAGGCTCATTGGAGCTCCAAGTCAGGAAAGGGAGGGCGCACAGGAGCGCTGTCCCTCCTGGAGCAGGGAGAGCTGGCTCCGCCTGATCTAGGAGTCAGTTCTTTTCCCTGCTGGGCCAATGCCAAGCACCTGGCTTGGTCCGTGTAGGTCATGATGGCACATGGACATGGGCTTCGGGCCAGAGGGGTTCACGGGTACCGTCCTTCCTACACATAACCCCAGTGTGGTGCCTGTATAGCCTTCTGGCAAGAACCATGCCTTCTTAGCCTGGTCTTAAAAACAGTTACTGCTTATGCCATCCTGCTGCCTGAGGTCAACAAATTCTTCGTTACTTGTAGACAGTGTCTCACTCCAGAAAATGATCCTTTTTCAAATTCCCATAGCATAAAAAGGACTTAAAAGAAAAGCAGAGAAGGAGAAACTAGAATATAAGATATTTCCCCATTCGTCTGCGTAATTCTCAGCATTTTTCAAGTTGGGGTAAGACTGGGGCAAGTTTTAAGGGAACATGCCGAGCTTCCTGGATTCTCAGCTTGAGGGCAGCAGGGGCTCAGAAGCTGCTGGTCTCAGACCAGCAGCCCCTTTCCAGGGAGACCACAGATCTCCTTGAGCGTGCGGCAGAAACTATGGTCATTTTCTGTGCCACGTTTGAGGAACATTGGCATGCCCGTCCCAACACGGCCAACTTACCAAGTGTGTTCTCTTCATCCTAGCTGTACCCCAGGCGACGCCGCCGTTTACCAGATCTCTGCTAAAAACTGTTCTGGAATGATCTGCTGTTCTGCTTCCATTGAAGTCAAGTGCTCGGCAGAGAACCCACAGCCCTCTCCTGGCCCAAAAGATGGCAGGGACCCAGGTCAGAAACATGCAACAGAGTCAAGCATTCAGGAAAGAACAAACCAGCTTGATGAGCATGAACATCCTCAAAGGGGTGAAGAAAGTGTCTCCTCAGGTAGTACCGTGTCTGCTGACCGCCCCTCCTCCAAATTCGGCTGCTTATGCTCACCCCAGCTGTTGGCCAATAATGACACTGGTGGAGCCAGTTCTGAAAATCCCTTGGATGTTAAAGGAGCAAGGCACACCGAAGAGGCTTGTGATCTGGATAGCACAGAGGAAGTGGCAGATGGGTGGCTTTCCTCTAAATCAAGTAAGACTCCTGATCAGCAACATGTGTATTGCCACAGGACGGTGCATTGCAAAGGATCGAAGCCAGTGGATGGTGCCTTAAACAGCAATGGCCCTAATGAGGACGTCATACACTCTGGTCATCTGAACCCCAGAGTGCAGAAATACATTAGCATCAGCCTCCCGCTGTCAGAGGGCACCGCATCCATTCTTCCAGGTGGCGGGGCCACGACCAACCAGCAAGTCGGCTCACAGGTGTCCAGTGAAGACTCTGACAGTGACTATGAACTTTGCCCAGAGATAACCCTAACCTGCACCGAGGAGTTTTCAGATGATGACCTAGAGTATCTGGAATGTTCTGACATTATGACGGATTACTCTAATGCAGTTTGGCAGAGGAACCTGCAGGGGACTGGGCAGGTTTTTTTATTAGAAAGCAATGACGAAGAGATGGAATTCAGTTCATGTTGCCTGGGTGGGTGTGAGCATTTCCTCAGTGAAATGGGTTGTGGGCCTCGGGTGTCAGATGACGTGGGGCCCATGGATGCCACCACTGGCTTCTGTGGTAATCACTCACAACCCCAAGAAGTAGGGGTGAGGAGCAGCCAAGCCTCCACCCACAGTCCCTCATCCCTGCGAAAGGGGATGATTCTGACTTTGGGGCCTCACCAGGATGTCACAGCCACGGTGACAGACCAGGCGAGAGATAAACTACCCCCTGCTTCTGAGGCTGCTGAAAATGATTATCCCGGAATTCGGAGAGAAACCAGAGACAGCCACCCGGCAGGAGAGGAATTCACCAGTGACAATCTGCTAACCATGGATAAAGCAGTGACAGAGACGGCGATGAAGCACTTGTCTGGTGAGCTAGAAAAGTCGGGGGCGGACCAGTGGTTGGAGACAGCGGCCGAGGAAAAGGTAGCGGTCGGGGCTTCACTGAGCAAGAGGGGCTCCAAGGTACCTGCCAGTGCGAGGCGGCCAGGAACTAAAGGAAACCCCAAGAAGCCGAGCCCCGCCGTGAAAGAAAGCGCAACCAAAGGTACCCGTAATCTCCTCTATCCCAAAGAGCCTGTTAAGCACCCATTAACCCAGAGTGATAAAAGAGACGGTCCTTGTGCCAAAGCAGAAGCTGTCGATTGGAATTCCCAGTTCCGTGCAGGAGAATGTGCTCTTCCAGCCCAAGCGGAGCAAGAAGCAAAAACCCTGCAGGTTGCCCTGGGCTCACCCCCTCAAGGAGGGAGCTCAAGCTTTGAGGGAGAAGGGGTGTTGGTCAATCACCTATTTGAAATAAGCGGGGTTCCAGACTGCAGTGCTCATCCTCAGGTAAGACTCCTCTTTTTAAAAGTCACTAGATGAAAGGTATCTGCGCATGCGTGCACGAGTGCATATGTGTGTGTGCGTGTGCGTGTGTGTGTTTCTCTTCATTTCATCTTGATGATCACTCTACCACAATGGAAACCCAAAGAAGTCTCCCAGTGCCGTTAGGGTACTTGTGAATGACAGCTGCTGCTGGTAAGAAGGAAATCTGGTTTTGAAAAAAGGCCCAAATAAACCCTAAGCCATCCTAATTATAGCAAAAGACAGATAGGAGTAAGAGGCACTAATGGGATTCTGGACAGCTGGAAAAAGAAATTTGATATTTTGTCTACTGCATGTGTTTTACCAGGCAGTGTCCCTATTCAGAAAGTTCTGCAAGCAAATGTTTTGGGTGTAGACTTTAAAAGGGAAAAAAAAACTCACTTGAGTCAGTTTTCAGGAGCACTTTGAAAACGGGAAGTGATAGTTGGAATCAGAATTCATAGTAAAATCAGAGATTTCGGTGGTCTAAATGATTTGTAGGAATCGCTTAGTGGTGCGGGGGTAAGTTGGTTTTGTGTGCCCAAAAATCAAAGTAGATTTTTGAACGAACATTTGTTTTGTTTTTCGTAGATCACAAATACAAAAGAGTCTAAGAAAATGCTGCCAGGAAGAAAATTTGTTTCACTGTTACTGATTGGGGTGTGTATTAGAAAGAGATGGAATTAAATTCATGGGAATAATTAATGCACAAAAGACATTGTGCTTGATATAAGAATTTATTTTATTTTTAATTTGAAAGAGTTCCAAGTGGGCTTTGAGTTGATGCAATACTGTGGCCAAGATTTTATTTTTGTAAATAACTACCTAAGAAAAGTTATTAATCAGTTATTTTTACTATACTATTTTACTATGTTCTCCTTTCTCCCAACTTCAGAGTTTAGGAACCTAGTATTGTTTTTATAGGTCAGACATACTCCAAAGAAAGTGAAATATTCCCAAATGCATTCGAAGTTACTCAACTCTGTCTGTGAAAAAGTAAACAGGTAATACATTGGTTTCTAAGGACCTAGTCCTAAAATAGCCAACCAAAAAATTTCCAGATCTGAGGGAGCTTTTCACTGAGCAAATTGTTCTGCCCCACTGACCAAACTCTGCCACATAAAAGTCACATTTATTCTTTACTTTTTGCAGGAGAGCCAGCTTTATCCTATTTGGCTATTTAAAAAAAATTTTTTTAATATTTATTTATTTTTGAGACAGAGACAGACAGAGCATGAGCAGGGGAGGGACAGGGAGACACAGAATCTGAAGCAGGCTCCAGGCTCTGAGCTGTCAGCACAGAGCCCGATACAGGGCTCGAACCCACGACCCGTGAGATCATGCCCTGAGCTGAAGTCAGAGGCTTACCCGGCTGAGCCACGCAGGTGCCCCCTCCTATTTGGTTGTTTAACATACCACTGGGGTGATCGCACACCAACGAGCACAGATGCATGCCTAGGATAAGGTTGTGGACGTGGTTTAGCCAAATACTAATATAAAATTCGGTTGCAGTGTTAATTTTTTCATGTCAGTAAACATAACATTTCCTTTTCTAGTCATCAGATGCTCTTCCTGGCTCAGATGAGTACCTTTTTATAATTGCTCACCCACATGGAGCATTTCATTGGTCAAATTACCTTAATTATTAAAGGCTCGGGGGAGGGGGAGGGGGTAAAGTGGCCCAGAGGAGCAGGTGGAGGGGAAGAAGCAAGTGACAATGTTGTTTTTAGACCCCTCACTGCGGGAGGCACGTTCTAGCTTCCTCACCTGCCAACAGTGAGGGAGCCTAAGGAAGGAGCGCCCTTTGTCATCCTCGGCTCGTGCCCCTAACTGAATCCCGAGACTGAGAGTCTTGGTGACAGCAAGCTGAACGCAGCTAAATAGAACGGTCCCCATCTCAGGGACCATGGTCAAAGGTCTCATGCACATTCTTGTCACCATCAAAGTTCTTGTGGGACCCTTGCTTAGACACTCACACGCATTCACCTCTCCTGCCGGCTCAAAGTCCCAGGTGTGCTCTGTGTTTTGGGGCGTGACTAAAGCAGAGACCACAGACCCCTACACGTGACGTTTTAGAAAGCTTGCCTTGTGCAGGTGGATGGGCTCTTCTCACTCTGCTGTGCTCAGTAGCAGAGCCAGCCTCTCGCTCACGGGCAGCCAGAAAGGTGAATGGAAGTTGTGTATTCAAGAGCACTTCTGTGCAGCCCGGAGTTAGAAATAGGACCGGGGCTCCTGGGTGGCTCAGTTCGGTTAAGGCTCCTACTACAGCTCAGGTCATGATCTCACGGGTCGTGGGTTCGAGCTCTGTGTCGGGCTCTGTGCTGACAGTAAGGAGCCTGCTTGAGATTCTCTTCCCCTCTCTCTGCCCCTTCTCCAGTCTCTCTCTCTCTCTCTTTCTCTTTTCTCTTAAAAATAAATAATTAAGGGCATCAGGGTGGCTCAGTCAATTAAGGCCCAACTTTGGCTCAAGACACCCAATCATGGGTTTGAGCCCCATGTCGGGCTCTGTGCTGGCAGCTCAGAGCCTAGAGCCTGCTTCGGATTCTGTGTCTTCCCCTCTCTCTGTTCTGTCTTCCCCTCTCTCTCTCTGCCCCTCCCCCACTTATGCTCTGTCTATACGTCTCTCTCTCTCAAAAATAAATAAACATTACAATAAGTAAATACATAGATAAACATTTAAAAAAAAGAAACAAATAGTACCTTTGTACATCTGAGGCATTTATTTTCCCTTACCGAAAAGTGGGGAAATACCACAGGGACAGTGGCAGAGGGGGGCGGCATTCTTTGACCCGTGCAAAAAGTTACTGTCTCACTCTAGAAGATGTCTGTGTTTCTTCCATGCAAATACAACATAGCCAAATTTACAGCAAAGGACTGAATATCATTATAAATGCGACGCAAAAGCATGAGAAGGTCACTAGGAGCTAAATAAAACTTTTTAAAATACAGCTAAACCAATTGGTGAATCTTTCTAGAACTAAGACAAAAAAACATGTTAAATATGTATTCTCAGATGCCTGAGGCTTTTTGGAACTTACAGTTTGAAATGTTAAAAATCCTTGCTTGCAGGTAATATTAATAAGTCTGCCCACTCTTGACTCGTCAGATTCACTTACCTCGAGGGGTCTTTTTTTTTTTGTAGACACAGTGACCATCAGCTTATCATTTAGTAGCATGTCTTCATCTGCATATTGCTTTTAGCACTCCGAGGAAAATCCCAGACCTGTAAATCTGCTGCATTCTAAGAACAAGGCTATCTTGTAGAATATCTCCTGCCTAAACACGCGGACTTATTTCCTGTCTTCCTCTCCTGCTTTTACATCACAAGGCCATCTTGTTCCACTTTGTCTTGAAGTAGTTTTTACCCAGGCTAGGATTGGAAAGCCCCCAGTTTCTCTACAGTTATGGAAGATTCCGGAGTTAATCCCAGTTTGGGAGTGGAAAGCAGAGAGGGTACCCCGGGCTAACTTGAATCGTCTTCAAGGCTCACACTGCCAATCCTTCACCTTGGTTTTGCTTTTGCTTTTATGACCCGGCTCAGAGGCCAGTTCTGAGGACCCGCCCGTCTTAAGTTTCCTGGGAGCCACCCTGCGTGAGATCGCCCTCGCTCTTAAATCAGAAGTGCTGTGTCCGTCCTTCTGCATCGCTGTCCAGCTTTCACGCTAGACAGATTTGCATTTCTCTTTGGGGCTATGGGATCTCAAGAGTACAGAATGAAAGGGTCATCTTAGGTTTTGAGAGTTAAGAATCTTCCTGATCAGGAATTAGCACCAACCACACAAGGGGGTGAGCTCCGTGGTGGCAGGGAGTTTGGTGGCTGTGTTTTGTTCACTTATCTCTCCAAGTCCTGGGAATAGTGCTGACCACACAGTAGGCACTCAATAAGTGAAAGAATAAGCAGTCATACGGGACTAGGTTTCATTCCATTCATTCCATAATGGTCCTTGATCTCAACCACATCATGGCCTTTGGTGTTATAAGTGCCTTCTTTGGTTTCCTTCACATACCGATTTCCCGCTACCAGATGGCTTCCCATTGCTCTTTGGGCCCTGGGAATGGATTATTTTGTACTAAACGCCCTGCCCCCCTTGTGAATGCTGGAGGTTCACATATAACCTTGGCATCATCAGTGCCTTGTTAGCTTTTACAGATTGCTGATGAGATCCAGGGAGGCCGTACCATATCTCCCAAGCATTCAAGACCCTCTGCCACATTGCTCCCATCCACCTCTGAGAGGTGAGGCAGACAAACGCACCCGTTTCTACATCTGGAAAATGAAGCATTCTCTCGGACATGTAGCGTTTCTTCTGTTCTCTCGCCTGGAAGTAGCTGTACTTGGCTTGTTGCCAGCTCAGCTCCTCTCATCTCTCAAGGCCAAGATCCTGCAAAGTGCTTCAGGTTGCCTTCCCCACCCCCACCCCAAAACACAGTCCTCATCCCTAACTGTGGGGATCCTTCCAGAGAAACACAACATCCTTGTCCGAATACTCTGTGGAGGGTAGTGGGCTCTGGACCTGGATTTGGGTCCTGTGCTTCTGCTTTCTGACTCCATGACCTTGGGGAAAACTACTGAAGCTCTCCCGGCCCCAGTTTCCTCATCCAAAACAGAAATAATAATAGCAATAATAATAATAGTGCCTCATCGAGTGTCACGAAGATTAAAGTCTTGCGTGTAAAAGGCTTATCACAGTACCTATTATGCTGTTAGCATTTAATGACTATTATCATTTTTATTTTGTTTATTATTTACCTTTTTTTAAAAAAACTATTTTGTTTTTAAGTAATCTCTGCATCCAATGTGGGGCTCAAACTCACAAACCCAAGATCAAGAGTCATATGTTCTACCAACTGAACCAGCCGGGTGCCCCTATTATTTACCTTCTTAATACGTACGTCCTTTCTGCCCATATTAAAAGCAATTTAAGGGCTGGTTGTAAGTGATTTTATACCTTTTTTAAAAACATGTATTTATTTTTGAGAGAGAG